GTCAGCTTCTTTGGGATACGCCACGCGTCTAACCATCATTCAAAATCATATATCTTATCTATGAAGTGTATTTCAAGCCAGATTCACTGCTTGCATGCCCGATGTCAAAGCCACTGTTTCATCCAACTCGAGCCAATCATCACTTACTTATTTCACTGGGTGGAAAACTTTTTTGATCTAGGTGGTATAAAAGTCTCCTAATTGATCTATGGGCAGTGGTAAGGCAGTTGCGCCGAACAACTCTGCCCCTTGTCTACACAATGAAACAAGAATAGTAGAAACAACTGTAGACCTTTATTCTAATGCCTTATGCATGAAATTCCTACCTTCCCTCAACATTCGCTTTAACAAGGTCGATTGTTCCTCCAGCCGCAAGGCGAGCTGCTTTAGCACTTTCGGGACAAAGCCATAAGATCTCCTTGTCCCTGAACACATAGACGTAGATATTCACAAAACTCAGGGAAGAACTAAGACTGCTTCTTCTACGCCCTACCTACAGAAGTCTTCACACTCTTCATCGGTTTTGAGGGAATCCAGGCCATGTATCAGGTCACGAGCATGAACAAGCATCAGCTCATCTTCTGTAGCGTCTCGGGCTTCGATCTGTATATGTAGGTATGTAGTAACGGTCAAACTGTTCGCCGAAACGGTTTTTCGTGCTTCTCTTTTTTGCCAGAAAAAATCAATGGTGACCTCGAAAAATTTTTCTTTTGAATATCCTGATTCTTTAAGACTTGAGGATATAAAAACACTAGAAAACATAGTATATCAATCTTTGGAGGCGTTGCTCAAGCGAGAAAAAATAATGCACTGAAAATCGTTTCGGCGAACACTTTTGACCGCTACTGTACATGTGGAGTGGACCCCTAAACAGCCTAGGCTGCATTCACGCTCTGCGCAGCTGCGGCCAGTGCGGAAGGTGCGTACAGTGCGGGCACTACACAGAGCGTCAACAAACGCCTTAACGCACACTCGCTTAGCTGCTGCCTTTCCTTGGACCAATTTCAATTTTAACACGTTCTGTCTATTTTTTGATGTTCTGCGTACCGTGTTGCTTTCGCCCGTATCTTTCTAGCGCAACTCTTCTTTCGTATACGAGTAGTTATTTTTGCGCACTAGTGAACCCACGTGGAGGTCATTTGCTACTTTTACACACAATTGTACGACGGTAGCCGTTCAAGGGCTGCTGAGAAATAGTGATTCATATGAAAACTTGAAACAGATGAAAACAAACACGGCTCGTAGAACATCAAAAAATAGGACAGATTAATTAAAAAGACCGATCGAAAAGAACAGACGGTGCGCCGAATGCCAGACAGGGTCAACCCTATCGTTGTTACTTTTTGAAAAATTTTTACGACCCCCCTCCCCCAAGGTGGATTTGATACGACCCCCTTTTCCACACCTCGACCACCATCATCGTCTCTATAGTATTAATTCTGATACCACTCAACCCACCAAACTCCGCCCACTTTTTCCTCCAAAAATGCCGTGAAAGGGGATAAATGGCTACTACTTTCACCGGCTTTGTACCTTATATTCCACTGGAGCCTCATTGAGACGTAAGCAAACCAGCCCTTTTGGCACATCGGCTGGGACCGTATGCTGAATGTTGGGGAGGGGATGGGGTCCCCAACGGTCGACGGTTTACTTCAACTCGGTTGGTACGATAGGAGAGTACTGACGCAAGTGGTGCAGCTGGTCCAGTAGCTTCGCCAGAAGGACCGGTCTGCTCACCCTTGGACTAAGCCTAGGAGAGGGACGGACCCGTCCTCTCTTTAAGGCTTAGTTCTAAGGTAAGCGCCAAATTGTGGCGGTTCTAAGGACCGCGTTGAAGTTGTCCGTCCACCGTCGGGGACACCATCCCCTCCCCAACATTCAGCATACGGTCCCAGCCGATGTGCCAAAAGGGCTGGTTTGCTTACGTCCCTCAGGCGGGGGGGGGGGTTGGTCAAAGTGGCGCGCGCTGAAACGCAAATAACACCAGGCTACCTACCCATAAAAACTTCAGTTTCCCCTCAAACCCATGTGATTTCAAGCGACTGAACGGGTACGACCCTCCCCCCGCCACCCTCCTACAAACTCAAGCAAGTACGATCCTCCCTGTTGTTACTGAGTAACAACGTTAGGGTTGACCCTGAGGTGTGTGGACGCTCTTCGTCGGTCCCTAGTGTCCGCACTGTCCGCGACTGCTGCAGGGTTACAACGCGCCACAAGAGTATGGACAAGCGAGCCTTACAATAACTTCAAAGCTGATCACTTCAGGCGTTCCATCGCTACTCGACTTCTTATGTATTAAGGCTGTACATAATTCGCCGTTTTTTTTTCAGTCAATGGCTCTTTGATTTTTGCTGATTGATTTCAAGCGATTAGGGGTGTCTGGAGTGGCGCAATATGTTATAGAGTTTTTTCTGTGACAACATTTGTCTATTTGCTTCACTATGAAGCTTACACACTGAGCAAAAAAGATTGCTCATGCTACATGAGTGCAAGTTGAGCTCGAAACCGAATGCTTCTGCATCTGCTCGTAGAATCAATGAAGCCTGGGATGAAGGCACGGTTGCAGAGAGGACTGTTCGAGAGCGTTTGTTGATTACGCATTTATTGTTGTTTTTGTTGGGTTTTGTTAATAAACTTTGATGAGTGAAATGAAAACGGCGGATAATTATTGCTCAACCTAATATTCTCTACACTCCCCTCAAAAAGTAGAAAGTGTCGGTTTGCAACCAATAGTTGTTTGTGAAGACCGTCGTCACTTGTGGTGACATCACAGGTTTCTGCCAATGAAATGATTAGCCTGTTGCAGTTGTATTCTATCGATTGTCACTAATTACAGCTATCATTTACCAGAAATCAGCTATCACTATGAACAACTTCTAACCAGATTTACTTGGAGGCAGTCGTCATTTGTTGTGTCTGCACCCGACATTTCTCGCTTTTTGAAAGGGTTATATATCTATCTTCAAAACTTGCTCATGCCCAAAATCAACCGGGCGTTTTCTGGAGGACAAGGAAGACAGTGTCAAGAGTCGGTGGTCTAGGGAGCAGAGTCATTACTATTGAGTAAAGCGTCTGCTGACTGGAAGAAATGGAAGAAAAAAATTGGGGAGTTACAGATTTCCCTGCGTTTCGGAGAGCGACTGGGCAATTTGAGAGTTAAGCTATGGTTTAGAAGTACTAAAATGACCTTGAAGGGAACAACCAACAACATCAGAGGGTGGGGACTGAGGGGATCGCATCTCTGAAGTCACTCACACGCCATCCTGACCCTGTTCGGAAATCAGGACGAAACATTTGAATTTTATTGCTGTGGCCTAAAAACAACCAAGTAGTAAACAAACGGATAAGATGCACCATAGAGCTGCTATCGTCACTGGGCAGCTGTCAACGAGGAAAACACATTGACAGCGTATCACTTGTTGTCTAGGAGGCAACTATTGGCATTTTGTCAACAGAAAAGATTCCATGGGGTACTGAAATAGAAGAGGTGCTCCGGCGCGATTCCTACGTACTACGTGAGGACTTCGGGGGCCTAAAGTTTGTTTAACCAGGTGACCTTTCACAAAGAAGTCCAGAAATACAGCTCGTCTTGAAAGTTCAGTGGCAGAGGAGCCATGTGAACCACGATTTCGCTTTTTTTTCAAAAATAAACCCAAAAGATTTAGGCCTCTGAGGACGACGATTTGTCGAAACGTTAGGCCGATTCAATAAACGTTCTATCTATCAACCTCGTATGGCACATAAAACAAACACAAATAAAAACTTAAAAGAATCTGTGTTGGTTTCTGTTTTCAAATCCATTTATAACAGATCAAAACTCCTTCCGTGAAATATCGCCGGTGAAATTTCGAAAGGAAATTATTCGTTCGTTCTAGGGATATCGAAGATTTGGTGAACCTATACATGGGACACACTGTACATCTCATAAGATGTAGTTCTTACCTTTACGGCATCCTTCAGCAACCCATCTCTTGAAAGCTTATCATGAATTAAAGCCATTCGTTCAGGTCGTTCTGCCATCGTACCATCATAATTGCATTTGTGCTCCAACATTCGTTCATCGTACACATATCCGAATGGAGGAGAGGTCATCCTGAACAGAAGATACCGATTGTCCGACCAGAAATGGTTGATGCGAAATTATCGGCTGTTCATTTCGGCTAAGGATTCTCCAGTTTTTTTTTTTATATTTTTGAGGATTTTCATGTCATTCGAGAACCTCAACCTCCTGTTTCTTTCCGATATATTGCACTTGCGCTCTTACTCCAGATTGATCATGAATCTAATGCTTCATGTTCCCTCATCGGCCCACTCCCCAGAAGGATGAATGAGCGCTGACACCCACCCCGGAGTTTTTGTGTCTAGCTTTGGCGACCATTGCCTGCTCAGAATAAGCTTCTTTGGCTCAGGTTTTGGACTCGCTTTTGCCTGTGCTCATATCCGTTATAAACGGAATGGAATTCGGCTAAATCTTCAGATGCAGGAAAAGTGAAGGCAGAATTATTTAAGAATCTCTCTATGTATAAACATAATAGATAAGAACTAAATGCAGTTTCTTCTTGAGGAACATTCCACAGAGGCGAGGGTCGAAGAAGTGGAAGGTTACCTAGTGGAGAACCGGCGAACTCCCTAAGTGCGGACCAACACGCGATTTGCAGCGAATCATATGCCCCGTATGAAGCTCTCCATGGCGCCCACCGCTGGCTATCCACTAGCCGTAGGTCTCTGGCCCTTTAGTAGAGAAGGCGTTAGCGTTGAAGAGGGTAACAGTGACGAGAATCGCATCAGAGCAGATCATCAGCGGGGGTTTCAGTTCTTGAGTTTTCACTTTCTATGTTTTTTCATCATTCCCACCACCAATTGACGACCTCTACCTGATTCTCAACAGGTGCATTCCACACGTAAGCTCCGCATTTAATCAGCTTCTCGTGTCGATTCCTGCTGGACGCAACTTCTGGTTCATGTCCCTTTGCCCGAGTTTCATATTAGGTGCGAACACGTTCTATCGTTCTGCTCCAACATTCTACAAACAACTACCTTCACCCCGAATTCTTCGCCGAGCAACTGAGCAGACACACAGGTTTTTGAGCTAGCGCGCAATCGCGAAAGAATATGCAATGTGGTATAATATCGAACAGTGCAGCAAGATTCTGGATTTTGGCGAACTATCGAAGTCAATTGGAAATGATCAATGAAATCCAAAAAAAAAATCAACAAAAGCCGGGCCAAGGTGAGGCGGCGGTTTGGTGTTATGATTGGTAGCACAAGTTCGTGGGAAGGGAGAAGGGGGGGTTCGTGGGTTCGATTCCCGCCTGTTACAGGTTTTTGCCCGGACGAAGCATATGTCTTGTGACCTTTTGCCATGCGATTTGGCTGTGTTACGAATAGCACTTAACATAACAAACATAATCGAACAAGGCATTTGACAACAATGCACAGCTCATAATTTCGGCATCGACCCAGCACATGGCAGCACAACAGCGAGTGTATTTCTTGGAATGAGGAAGAGAATCCGAGCACAGCTGATTCACTGATAACTGAACAGTACAACGTTTCGTTGTTTGTTCAATGATAGCAGATTGGTCTTTAGCAAACCGTCTTTGCGGCGTTAGTGTAAGGACTTGGGAACTTTTGAACCTTCGCCAATTTTAGTATAACATGTTCATGGCGCTATCCCAAAATTCAGGAGTATCCTCTGAAGGCGGGAATACCGGGGAAGATGTAAACTGTTCAAGCACCTTGGGGTGTTCTCCCCTCGCTTTAAGACTTAGTCCCAGTTTCTAGCAGAACAGGGATGTTTTACACGGTTGCAAATGATTGCCACCACAATGCCCCCATATTTTGCGATAGCTCAGTTCATGAAACTTATCACCAAAATTGTGCGTGGCCAGTAGTAGCCTTTCATGAGTGCCTGTACACTGTCGTACGCTTCGACTCATACTCGACATCAGCTTGAGCCAATGCAGCCGATGCGCTGAGGACGTATTCTGGTTGGGAATGGGAGGCCGGCATTTCGTATAATCGGGAATTTCTTTCAAAAACGAGTTAAAAAAAACGGGCTCAGCAAAACTGAGGATTTCCCCGGAATAGCAAGACTTTGAAAACTTCGGAAGATTTCACGTTCGGGTTGATATTACTGGTTGCAGAAAGCCCGTGAGGTAAGGACAAGGACCCGAGTTGATTCTAATTTCTTGACACATGCATAGCTCACACTGCTCGACGTACCTATGGTACTGTGTCACGTTCTGAAACACGCAACCGAGTTGGGTTTCGAGTGCCGCTGGAACAATAGTGGAGCACTGAGGCGTAATATTTTGCAAAAACTAGGTGGTGGTATTGCAGCTTATTGGCTTGTGGACAAGAGAATCCTGTGCAGAAAAATGCGTTTGTAAACCTATTGGTATGAAGCTTGCCACCGAAGGACTGTGGTGGCGTGGTGTCAAACGGGGACAGCGCACAATTTGGTGGTAAAATCCCCGGCAGGAACTTCATTCAGAAAAAGCAAAATTTCTTTACATCCGAGGTTGTTTGGCTAGTGTCATGCTAGACTTCTACTACAAATACGTCATTTGTACACCGGCTGGCGTCCGCAATTCACCCCAAAGGCAAACTGCGTTTCATTGATGGCTTCTACGAATAATCTGGTGGGATGTGAATACGTGGCGCATCCCAGTAAGGGTTGCAAAAAAAAACCACATGCTCAATCGTTCATCCTTTTGTATCATCAAAAATAATCTATAATGACATTATTATCAAGAAAATATGAAATGTGGAGAAAGGACCATGAAAATAAAAACAAGTTTAACCATCTTCAAATTGTCACTAGAAAGGGCTAGCAAGAACGAGGTAATGACTGATGATGAATGTTTTTGATACCCGAGCAACAGGTACCACAGCGGGAGCAAACAGCGAAGACAATCTGATTATCATCAAACGATGTAAACACTGATAGTGGTAAACATGCAATCAATACTGACAAAACATCTCAGAGTCAAAGTCTAACTGAAAAACACGATTGTGTTTCACATCACTCTGTGAGGGTTTATGAATAGATAGATATGATTGAATGAAACAGTGAAATAAGGGGTCCTGAGGGCCGAAAAGCCGCTCACGTTTCGTGAATGCAGATCCTCTCTAAACAAACAACACTGGATCCTCTTTAAACAAACAGGACGCTCCTTTCCCTCAGGATCGACTAAATGATCTCAAGCATGTAGATAGACACGCAAACATGTGACGTTGCTCCCCTCAGGGGATTCGCCGTGCCCTACAGTTCCATTTAGAATCAAGTGGCATTTTAGTACGATTTTGTCAATACCACGTACATATGCACAATGACTGAATTTATGTATGGGCCAAAAATGCATTCAAGTGCCTCTGCAATTTTGAATGAGTGTTCAAATGCACAACGAAGTCCAGGCAGATCAAATAACGCTGACTGCTTTCACAGTCTGCTCTTTAGACCATTGCGGTTCGCGACCTATGTAAACAGATAAGAGCGATGTCTCATTATCGGAAGGAAGGGTTTCCAATGATTGTTCTTCAAATCTCTACCCTTATCAGATTACAAAGAATAGCCTCGAACTCAAAAATAGCCTTTCTGTCTGAGATATAAGATATCTCTGATAAACCAATTCGGTTCTAAAGCAGTCCACTTCTCAACAGAATAGCGTGATCATAAGCTAACCAAAATGATTTACACTCGAGAAACCACTTTTCTCGCTCTTGCTTTTTTCATGTTTTTTTTTATTTTTTCTTTACTCTCGAATTATTTAAATAAAGAATTAATCCAATTAAAAAATTAAAAAATTTTTAAATAAAAAATAAACTAGTTAATATCTTGAACAACAGTTTTTCCTTTCTTCCTTTACTGATGAGCACAGAGGATGGATTCTCAATCCGTCTCATTTCAGTCTGCGAAACGGAAACTAGACTACCTCGTTGCATAGACCCCATAATAAAACATACATTTACAAGATTTAACAATTAGAATTATTACATAAAACAAAACATCTTTCCTATTGAATTTACGATTCGGTTTACTCTCGAATTAACATTCAACCAAATGTCCGTGGTCATTCATTCCCTGAGCCCCTCCAAATAATTATATCTTTCAAAAAAGAAGGGGTTGAGTGTGATCCCAGAGATCTGTTGCGTGGACGCCTAACCCATGCTAATATGTATTAGGTTGTCCCATAATTAGTGAATCACTTTGGGTATTTTTGAATTTCAATTTTTTTCTTTTTTATATGAAGTGCTTGCTCATCCAAACATACACCTCTGTCATCTACAAACTATTGCCTATACATGGAAATTTAGTCGCTGTCTTTCTCTAGAATTCCAGGAGCTATTGATCGAAGAAAGATCGGAAGTCGGGTTTGAGGTCATGTCACTTAGCGTAAAATTTCTTCCTGAAGAAGAGCGCTATAACTCAGACTAGGTTGTCTTTCGCTGGTACGAGGATAGGGCTACACGGTGGAGCTGGAAGAACTGCTAGCCTGAAGTCTCCAATTTTTTATGAATATTCTCCGCAAGGTGGGGTCGAATGACCTCAGAAAAAAGCAGACTTTGTCTTGCTTTACCTTCAAATTGAACGCGTCGCCATTATGCTGTCGACGTTTGCCTTCTTCAGTGACCCTAGTATTACTGGGCGGCGGTTCCCAGCGCAAGGTCACTCTCGTGCTCCACCAATATCTCAGAAGTGTCGGACTTAGAGGAGGTTGGGCTTTTGCTGTCAGAACTCCCGAATCGTTCAAGCTAGGCTACTGCTCCTTGTGGATTTGCTAGCACACTCCACCCAGTTCACAACACTGATGAATACGCAGGATGATCACTGAAAGGGCGATTTTCATATGTATATCGTGTTTTACGGCAGAGATTCCAGAAAAATTGTAG